TCTTTTCTTCTTTTATTTTCTAAAACTAAATTATAAAAATACTTAAATTATTATTAAGAACTAAATTAAGTTATAAAATCGCAAATTAACTCCTAATAACAATTAACGCACAATTAAGTAATAATTAAGCATAAAATTGTTCATTTGCACATTAAATGCTAAAAATACAAAAGATGCCTATTTTTTGTAATTTTAATTTTTGTAAAACTAATTTAATTACTAACAATTGTAGAATGAAATACTACATGCAAAATGCGACATATTTTTATATTTTTTATTAATTTAACAAATAAGCAAACTCAGACAAATACAAATAATTATCCAAAAATATCACAAAAATAATCAAAATTGCACACCAAGGAAAATCATTTTATTTTGCATTTTCTGGGAGTATTTCTCATATAGGGCAAAAATCACGTGCTTACAATGGCAGTTAAGGGTCAAAGTAATAATGACCCTACTAGTTCTCAGGGTCGAGAAAAGGCTAGGAAGGGAAAGAGGATGGTAGATAATAGTATTCCCTCTTTTCTGACCTCTTCAAAGATGACTATGTCTTATCCTCCACCACACGGCTATACTAAGTTGCCACAATATCACGAGCCCTACACCTTCATCCAGACACCAGGTCTTTCATCACAGGGCCATAGGACTATACGTCCCACATACAGTCTAGCTGCCTTACGGCCACATGGATTGCAACTATCTGCATCGCAACCATCCATATCACATACCTACATATCACAGCCACATGGATCGCATCCATCCATGTCACAGCCACTCGGGTCACAACCATCAGTATCACAACCACTTGGGGCGCATCCAGCTATGTCGCAGCCACAGGGGTCGCAACCATCTTTATTATAGACTTCATCTATTTCAGGTCTTCGCCTGCGAGGCAGTAGCTCTGACCCCCTACACTGTCTACACATGCCTCTAATACACATGCTTCGGACAATGATGACGAAGAAGTGCATTATGATCAATATGGCAGGATCATCATAGTCCCTGAGGGTGATGGGTAAGAGTTATTTGTTATTTTTGCGTCTATTGTTTTGTAATATTTTTACTAAGATATTAATGTATTTTTATTATTAAATTGAAGGTTCAAGCCGAGTAATAAGACTAAGAGGATAATCACCAATGCCATCAGAAAGCTTTATGATGGCCCTTATGCGACTTGGACTGATTTTCCATTCTCGCTGAAGGAGAAAATTTTCAATCAATTTAAGGTATAAATGTTCTTTTAAGCAGTTTAATAATTTATATTTATGATTTTTCCATATAATATTTAACTTTTGAAATACAGAGAAAGTGTGTATAGGAAGACCACTATAGCGCGGAAGTGGCTGCAAATTTTCATCATAAAGCTCGCAAGAGATTGGCGGATGCTTTCTCCGATGCTAGAAAGAAGAACAAGAAGCCTGGCTAGTTACTTTAAAATTTATGGGATGATTTGCAAAGGCAATGGCTTACCGAAAAGTTCTTAGAGAAGAGTGAAAAAGGAAAGAAAGCTAGCGCACCCGAGAAGGGAGGCTCCTCGCACATTGGAGGTGCGATCAACCTAGGGATAATTAAAAGAAGATTGGTACGTAATTGCTTAAATTATTTTACTTTTCGAAGTATATCTATTCTGTTTATTAACTAAATTAATTTGTTTTCAAGAAAAGAAGTTGGGGCGTCCAATGAGCCATGATGAGCTATTCAAGGAGATGCATATTGTAAAGAAGAAGAAAGAGAGGGATCAAGAAAGTTGGGTCGAGGACCGGGCCTCGACTGCATATGTAAGCTTTCAATTTTCTTTGAGTATCATAATTTACTTTTATAAGAATTTTGAAATAATGATTTAATTTAAAATAATATAGGGACTCTACCAAAGTAACGTGGAGGAATTCATTCGTAGTCATCCAATTGGTGAATCAGTCGAGCCAACCCAACCTTCGGACGAGGATGCTTGAAGAATATGGTTGGAGTCTGTTAGCGATCCAAAATGGGGAAGGCATACGGGCTTCCTACTAAAAAATTCCATTGCTATAAGTGTGAACTGCAAGGAATAGGGACTTCCTCGCAAGGTGAGCAACTTAATGGGGATAGCCTCTTCGCTATGCAGGAGACGGTGACAAAGCTCACATTCGAGCTAGAAGCGGCCAAGGAAAGAGAAAGGGTTAGAGATGCTCAATTCCTTGGCATGCAAGTTCAGAACAGAACTTTCCAATCTACTAGAGCTTTTCCGTTGCCCCGGTCTTGTGAGTCATCGCCAGAGGGTCGACCTCCACGTGATCGTTCCTCTCGTCCTGCTCATGATCTTTCCTCCCATCCTCCCCGTGATCATTCTTCCCGTCCTCCACAAGACCGTTCTCTATACCATCTTGTAGATGAAAGTTTATCATGCGGTGATAATAATGTTGTACAAAACACCCCTTTTATGTACTTTGAACTAGACAAATAGAACCAGTTTTGAACTTGTTGTAATTAGTTTTAACTTGATTTTGGATTGTTATGTTCAACTGAACTTTAATTTGTTAGTTTTAAAGTATTTATTGAATGTTTAGTTGTTGTTGTTGTGTTGTTGTTGTTGCTGTTGTTGTTGTTGTTATTGTAGTTGTTGTGTTATTGTTGTGTTGTTCTTGGGGGTATTGATATGCTGGCAGGTAGTGTAGCTACCAAAACAGGTATTTTATGCTAAAATTAAACCCCAAAAAATCAACCAAAGTTGGTTGGTTTTTAATAAAAAATAATAATTGCATATAACCGACCAAAGTTGGTTGGTCTTTCAAAAAAATTAATTGCATATTACTGACCAAAATTGGTCGATTAATGAACAATGAATACTTAGAATTCAACATTACCGACCAACTTTGGTCGGTATGTTTCCTGCACCGTTGAGGTTACCGACCAAAGTTGGTCGGTAATGTTTAATTTTAATTATTTTAAAAAATAAACATTTTCAGTTACCGACCAAAGTTGGTCGGTTTTTATTAATTTTAATAACAAATAAAAAAACATAAATTAAATACACTAACCAACTTTGGTCGGTAAAATTAAATTAATAAAATATGTTTCCGACCAAAATTGGTCGGTAAATCATTTAAATTCTTCAGATGGTCGTTTTAAGTTACCGACCAACGTTGGTCGGTAATTTCCAACCATCATTGGTCGGTAATCCATTCCAACTATCAAATACCGTCCAAGCATATGTGGACGTTTTGATCGGTAATTGGCCATAACCGACCAAAGTTGGTCGGTTTTTCTGGTCAGTATTTAGCGGATTTCTAGTAGTGTTACTTGCTATCAGGGCTTCTTTCTCCTTCTTTAGTCGAGGGTCTATCAGAAATAGTCTCTCTGCCCTCCAAGGTGAGGTTAAGGTTGCATACATCCTACCTTCCTCAGACCCCACTTGTAAAATTACACTGGGTTGTTGTTGTTACTGTAGAATAATTTTATTGATCTTCATCAAATGACCCAAATTTTGCTATTTCAGATGCTCCTACCTATCAGGCTTCCCTACTTAAATTAAAGTAAATTTTCGCTACAGAAATAGTAATGCAGTTTGTAGCANGCTAAGCATAAAGCTTAGTGGTGCATAAACTTTAGGCTTGGAGTCATTAAATTCTCCAATTCCCTTAGTTAACTCAATTTAACATAATTTAAAACAAATGAACAAGTATATCAAACATATCAATATCAAACTTTGAAGTGATTCCAAATATCAATAACACTGTTCAAGAGTCTAGAAAGTGTATACTATCAATTTAAGGAAGTATACCAAATATCCATTTTTCGCCTAGTATGTACGTCATGCCATTACACTAAGCATAATCAGATATCAAGATGGACCGAAGCCCCAAATCAAGTAGGGTCAAAACCCAATAGACAAGAGAATCAAGAACCATATTAAAAATGGCTTCCTAGTTCGTACTTAACACGGACAAGTTCCATAATTCAAGACGAACTACAAATGCAAAGTCAAGATGGCAAAAGATCCGAATCAAGAAGCATGCCAAGATGAGTGACCAAGTCACTGCCACAAGAAGGACAAAGTCCCAACAAGAATGCAAAATGATCAAACAATCCGTACGAATGGGCGATTTAGCAAATTTCTGACAAGACTTAATATAATACGAATATAACAATATAAATTGAAGACAATAAAAACAAAATATCAAGTTATTTCAACATATTTCCAGCAAACCAAAAAGAGTACAAGTTTATACACAAACCTTGATATTTTACCACAAAACAGCTCAATCACAACTTGGGGACGTTCGAATCGTCTACGCCATAAACAAACCAAATCTGTCCACTTCCTCAAACACTTCCCCTTTGATTTTTTTCCAAGGATTTATATACCTTAAATACATAATCAAATATCCAAATAAGTTCAATGATTTAACAAGTCAAACTAAACATGATATTGGTAAAAATTACCCAAAAACGTTTGAAACAGAAATTCTGGACAGTATTACTATTCCGAGTTGTGACTCAGTTTTGAAGATCTATAAGGACAAACTAGACTTTATAGTCTTCACAAAAGTTGTAGCTCTATGTCTTACCGTTTCAGAACATCTTGAATCACCACCATATCAATTTTGAACAAAAAGTTATGCTAAAATTACTAATAGCAGTACATGGAATATTTCTTAAACTGGAAATCTGGACAGCACCTGCCCTGTACTTTCTGACTCTTTTTCAGGTATATAACAACAAAACTAGATTTTAATTCCTTCATAAGAGTTGTAGATTTATGAAATACCTTTCCAGAAAGTCCTAGATGACTTAAATCGGAGCTCTGTACAAAAAGATATGTAGAAAATACTAGTAGATGTCTAGTATAAAAACAGGTTTAGAAACTTACCAAGAGGAGCAACTTGATCTTCACCAAAAACGAATTTTGTGCGTTGATTTAGTAGAAATCCATGTTTTTTTTTTGATGAACCTTCAGCTTCTTGTTCTTACGGAGGAGAGAGATAGAGAGAGATAGAGATAGAGAGATAGAGTAGAAAGATAGAGATAGAAAGATAGAGAGGTAGATAGTTATTCTTCTTTGTTTCTGAAGAGTAGAAGAATAGGGAGCTTATGGATAGATATGAAATAAAATGGTTCCTCAACTACTAAATATTCTTAGATAAATACAAAAGGTTGGAAACCCAAAACTTAATTATATACTATATTTAATAACAACTCGTCAAAATAATATTAAGTGTTACATATAGCAACACCATGGAACTTCCTTGTCAATATTAACACAGCCTAAAGTAAGAAATTTTCATATACTGACCATTTCACATTTAGGAAGTGCAAAGTAAAATATTTCCTCGTTATAAAAAATGCTCAATCAAAAATACAAATATTATAAAAAATTTGGGGTGTTACACAGTTGTGGTACTAACCTTGGTTCCTTTTTTCTCACGAATTTGTGCATAGACACACAAGTTCGTTATAATTTAAAATTGTTACATATAACGCTTTACTACGGTAGGTAGAATACCATAACTATTTATATATAATAGAAAAAGAAAAGAAGAAATAATTTAAATTCGATATCTTATTATATCCAACGCAACAATTTTATTCCAAGTTACTTATGACAGAAGGTTTGACAATGATGATAGGGTGGTATCAATGCCTGCAGAAAAAAGAAAAACCGTGACACTAGTTTTTTGGACAGTATACAGCTGGAAAGAATGACAGATATGCAATATATAGGCACTTGATTTAGTCTTTGATGTTAGACAATCTGAGCTAACAATGGAACAGTTGTGGTACTAATCTTTCTTTCTTTTTACATATTTGACAAATTTGTTCGTAGACATGTATGTGCAAGTTCGTATTAAATTAAAATCATTAGAGCGAAAAATTTCTTGATAGAAAGCACTTTATTTTTTACCTATTCGGCACGAACTCAAATTAATAGTCAGTGGACTTTGAATATTAAATAGTTAAATAAAAAGAGATTGTATTATATTAAATATAACTTTAGGAATAGAAAATGTCCAACACAAAGATTTATTCAACTCTATTTAAGACAGAGGCGTTTGACAATGATATTGGAATGGTATCTATCTCTGCAGAACTAAGAAAAACCTTGAGCCTTAAGACTCAAGATTTTTGTACAGTTGGAGGGAATTAATGACATATCATCTGCAAACATGGGCATTGACTAGTTTATGATGATAGAAGATCGAGTATTTACGTCAAATTATATTGCTTTATCGATAAAAATAAGAAGAAAAAAATATGTATACTACATTAATTGATAACCGTTTACATAAGAACACATAATATATTTACTATATTGAAGTAAATATTTGACGCGAGTAAATGGTTTTCGAAAATTTGAGCAATTTCTTCACGTTGTTGGCTTTAAGATTGATCAACTCCTTTTTTATTTTATTTTTTTTTTTTTTTTTTGCTTTCTTGTTTACTGTCTTTATGTTCTTTTCTTTTCTTTTTGGGTTGATGACCTGTGCTTTTAACAACACCCTGTCACCTATCTGGATGCTGAGTTACACACTTGTTTGTTAGGACATTCTTAAAGAGTTCCGTTGGTTTTTGTTTTGCTTTTTTTTATTCGTTTTTCTTTTTGGTGGTTTTAGACATCCTTAAACAATATAATGTTTATATTCCTTTGGCCATGTGCTATGCATAATTTGTTGGATTACCCAGTTTTTAGTCATTTACAAAGAAAGGTGTACGAGGTAAAATGATGAATGACAGGTGGACGCACGTCGACTTGACACGTGGCAATAAAGACAGGTAGAATATGAGTCAGCAAATAGTTGGCACCGATTACGGGCATATATCAGTGTTGTGTGAGTTTTGAAGACACTGAAACCGGGGACAAAAGTTTAAAAGGGAGATATCGGTTGAAGAAGACATCATTCAAGGAGCGGCCGTTGTAATGAATCTTTGTATTTATACTCAACCGTTATACAACGATCAAGAGAGATCTTTATTCATATTAAAGAGAAACTTGATTTAGGGATTTTGTCTCCCTGAATTTAGCTATAAATATAAGAATTTGTACTCACCGTAAGCACGAAAGACTTGTATGCAAAAAAGGCTAAACTTACTCTTGTTTTATTAACCTTCTTTCTGCTCTATACTCTGTTCTTGTTCTTGCTTCCCGAGAAGCTCACCTCACAATCAAGCTTGTATTTTCTTCAAATTTTCTTAATTAATTTATTTCTATCCTTAGTTATTTTATATTTTTGGATTAATTTAATTCTCGTGTCTATTAACAACGTTACAATTTCAACTATACCGTTTTACGGGTAAACAGTTTGGCACCCACCATGGGACATAGACGATTGTGGTATTACTTTGATCCATTCACTTGTTACTAACGTGTTTTGATGCTTTTCTTTAGTAAAGTAAAAGTAGATATGTCAACTAATGATGTTAACAACTCAATCAATGCTAGGAATAACAACGAGTGTGAGAATATTTCCATGATGGGGATCAGCGTGATGATTCAACCAGTGAAACCTGTAATGACAGAGATGAGACAACTCCGGTTCTAGAAGAATGAAATCCTCAGCATGTGAGGAGTCTTACTCCTAATGATATGAATGATGAACCTGTTGTTGAAACGGTGAAAGTTTTGAGAGCGCAACAAAGGATTATCATGAATCATCTCTCAAAACAGGAGTGGATAATGACTAAGCTCTAGCAAGTACTTTTGTTTGGCTCTAATAATTCCAATGAAGGAGTTCGAGCCCCTCCCAGCGTACGTGCAAATCAAACAGTGCAAACAACCAGTAATATTGTTTCGAGGGAGGAGTTTAACTTAATGATAATCAAGCAAGAGGTGCAGGCAGTGGATCTGGGAATGATAATAACACAAATGATACTCTTAAAAACGAGCTTATGAGGTTTATGAGGGAAATTAATGATCAGATAGATCAAAATGCTAAAGATTCCATGCTCGGATAGATCATATCCCCGGGGCATCACCGCTATTGAAGGGGACAGATATAAAGAAGCATATGCAATAACCGACAAACCAAGTATGGCCCCGGAGTTAATTCCAAAGAGATTCAAGATGCTAGATATTACGAGGTATGATGGAACTTTGAATCCACGTGTACACATCATAACTTACATTATGGCTCTAAAGGAAAATAATTTGGCTCCACATGGGATCGAATTTGTTCTGCTGAAGAAATTTGGAAAAACTCTAACAAAGGGAGCTTTAACGAGGTATTCGCTTTTACCTGAACATTCGTTAATTATTTTGAAATGCTTGCAGATTCCTTTATCAAAGCTCATGCTGGGACGAGGAAAGTCCAAGCTTGGAAGGTAGATATATTCATAATTGCTCAAGGAGAATCTGAATTGTTGCGGGAGTTCGTAATCCGATTCTAAAAGAAAAGGATGTTGTTGCTGGCAGTATCAGATGAATGGGCAGTCTAAGTGTTCACCAAAGTCCTCAATCCTTTACGCTCCGATGCCTCTAGAAAGTTGAAGGAAAACCTGTTAGAATTTCAGGCAACCACATGGGTGGATGTCCATAATCGTTATGAATTAAAAATCAAATCCGATGATCAATTAAGTTCTTCGGTGTCATCCAAGGTTCGTAATCGTGATCAGAATCAAGAAAAGTTCAAAAACGATTCTGATACAGACCAGAGGTATCCATGAGTTGTTTCCAACCTTATGAAAGATGTGATAGGCGTGCAACTAAAGGTTTTCAGTCATAGGAAAGATTCAGACCGGATAGAAGGACAGATCGTGGTCGGAATAGTAGGGCTTTGCAGGATAAAGAACCATGGGGTCCCGGGATTCAGGATATCCCCGGTTATCAGATTACAACTTCAATATCAGTTTGGTAGAATTGGTTTTAGCTATGAGAAATATCAAGGAGACAAGATTTTCGAAACCAATTCAGTCAGATCCTAGTCAAAGGGATCTTAGTTTGTAGTATGAATTTCATGAAACTCATGGCCACAAGGCTGGGGACTATTGGCATCTTCGTGGAAAGGTTGCAATGTTGTTGAAAAACAATCACCTTAGAGAATATCTGAGTGACCGAGCCAAGAACAATTACGGGAGGAATCGAGATACAATAAAACCAGCGAAACCAGTCGCAGGGTCACCCTGTTTAACAATAAACATGATTTTTGGTGAGTTGAAATAAATGGAGTGACGTTCTCGACAACGAAAAAGACAAAGATATCGGTAACTCATGGAAAGATAATCCGAGAAGCATTAGAGCATAAGGAAATTACTTTCACGGAGGAAGATGCTAACTGCCTTATTTTACCATATAATGACGCTCTAGTAATATCATCAAATATTTTAGATTTCAAAATTAAACGTGTTTTGGCTGATCCAGGTAGTTCAACCAATATCATTCCATTGAGGGTCTTGGAACAATCAAAGTTAACTGGAAACATAGTTCCGACAATAAAGATTTTGGCTGGATTCAACTTAACGAGCGTAATGACCCGATGGGAGATCTTATTGCCTACATATGCCGAGGGGGTAGCTAAAAACCACTTTATTCGAGGTGGTGGATGGCGATATGGGCTACAATGTGATTCTTGGTAGACCATGGATTCATGAAATGAAGTTAGTGCCATCAACATACCATTAATTATTGAAGTTCCCTACACCGAATGGATCAAACAAATTAGAGGTGATTAACCTACTACAAGAGAAATGAATACTGTCACCCAGCAGTGGAAGGTTCCAGCAAATAGAAACTATAGGAACTAATGTCAACTTCCCTTCCATCCTGGTTGAAGGCGATGGAGAGGAAGTGACATCAGATTTTTATTAGGTGCCTAGATCCTTCCAAGTACTGGAGGAAACATATGCAACAAAGTCAACCGCAGAAGAACTTAAACAAATTGTTTTGTTCATAGAGTTCCCGGATAAAAAAGGTTTACTTGGGAACAAGGTTGAGCCCCGAACTCAGGCTTAGAATTATCAAATTTTTAAAAGCTAACTTTGATTATTTTGCATGGTGTCAATCAGATATGACAGGTATTCCACTAGAAGTGGCTGTCCATAAGTTAGGTTTGGATCTTAACCCCCCCC